GGCCCCCCCCGGCCCGGGGGGGGGGGGGGGTACGGACTGGGACGCGGCGGCTCGTGGCTGGGGTGAAGGGGAAGAGGCCTCCTGCTGCTGGGGGGGTCAGGCTGCCCCGCTGAGGCTTCCCCTTGAACAAGACGAGCTCCAGCTTTGCCAGCCAGCATGCTGCTGTTTTTATGGCTGGCTGGCTGCAAGCGGTGCATGAAGGGCCTCGGCAGCTGTCGCCGGGATGCTCGTGCCGTCGCTGGCCCGCGTGTGCTGGTGATGCCTGGCTCTCTCGCAGAGGCAGTTCATGGGCCGGACTTCGGCTGAGAGGCCGGGACAGTGAGCTTGTGGCAGACCCGGTGGCACTGCCTGCAGGGACATCCGCATACGAGCATTTTCTGTGTGCCTTCACTCCTTCGGAGAGTCTCAGCTGAGTCCTTTCTCCGTGTCAGGAAAACCCCCCCCCGAATGTGCAGGAGAGCCACTGGGTTTGCGTTCTTGGGCACTTATATGCTACTTTTCAGCTTGCAGCACAGCATGAGCGTAACACAAAAGGCAAAAAGTCTGGCGAGTGCCGGGCCGTGCGCTCTCTCCCTCCCTCTCGCTCGCTCTCTCCCTCTCTCTGCCAGCAGATCTTCCTCCCAGGCCAAGAGGCTGTGGGGCACCTCCGGGTGAATAGAGGTTCCCTGTGCGGAGGCGGTGTGGTGCCGGCTGAGGCCCATGCCTGGTAACGGGTGGGTGCAGAGTTCAAGCTGCCGTGTGAAGCCTCCGGAGTCCTCCTGATGCCCTGGGAGGAGCGGAGGGGGGCTCCGAGCGGGAGGCAGAGGCCTCGGAGGTCGCTTGTTCTCAAGGCGGGGAAGGGCTGTTAGTTGCCCCTTTGTCTGATCTTGCGCTGCGAGCGTGTCTGCCGGTTTGGAAGGGGGATCCCTGGACTTGGGCCAGCCTTGGAGAGAGGCCCCGCTGTCCCGCGTCCGTCAGGTTGTCATCTCTGGTCTGTCACAACAAACGGGGATGCCAGTGAAGCAGAGAGACGCTTTCTCCCCCGCAGCTGCATGTGCTCCGGCCCTGCCAAGCGCCTGGCCTTCGCTCTGAGTGAACCTCGGCCAAACAATCTGAAACGCTGATCCATAAACAGCCTGGCTCCAAACTTGGCGGGCTCTTCTTGAAGGGGGCCTAATGGGAGTCAGATGGCCGCCCTGCCCTCTTCCAAGTACAGCCAAAGGGCTGGGCAGACATCTGTTGCTCGCCTGGAGTCTAAATTTAAACCCCTGGCTCCTTCTAATCACCTCCAGGGTTTTGTCAAAATTGTTTCATGTGATTTATATACAAAAGTCACTTCCCAGGAGAGGAGGAATCTTGGAAGTGTAAGCAGAAGGAGATGTACAATTAGCCACAGAGAAGGCTACGCTTTTGGAAGTGATTTGAAAGAAAATGAGCAGAATGAATCCGTGAATTAAGATCAGGTGTGGGTAGCTGCTTCTCCACCCCATTCGCTCCACCCGGGCAGCTGTTCTTGCTTCGTCGTCTTGGCCATAAATCTAGAGGGGTTTCTGGGGTTTTTTTTTTTGCAGTGGGGGGGGTGGACTTTCTCCCGTCCCTCTCTGTCAGCCATCTTTCCTTTCCCCAGATCTTGCTCAAGGGGCTTCTGATGAAGCCCTGCCTTCCTTTGGGGAGGGGGTGTTTCCCCAGCTTTTTCTTTGGCTTATCTACACGGGTCTCTGCGCGAGAACGGCAGCATGGTGCACAGAGCCTTTCGGCTGGGGTGGGTCATGAGACGGAGGAGTTCTGCGCTCTCCCCACCCCACCCCCCACCCCCCGGCAGCAGCAGCAGCAGCAGCAGCAGCTAGAGTGAGGAGGAGCAGTCGAAGCCTGGGCTTTGGGTGGCGTCTTGGGCTGGCCTCCCTTTCCTTATGTCAGAGGGGCTGTGAGGGCCTCTGCAGCTTCCCTGGGCAAAGGTCCCTCTTGCAGATGGGCCGGGAGCCCGGGCTCTTTCTCCCCAGCTCGGCCGGGCCGCCTTCTCTCAGCCGCCCTGTGAGATGGGGACCCTGCCGCCTGCTGGGCCTCTGCTCCCTTCCCATGGCCGCCTCCTGTTGTGTCGGCCTCCTGCAGGGGCTCCCCTTTGTTTTACTGCTCCTGCCAATGTGGCGGGAGGGGCGCGGAGGGGTCCTCGTTGCAGCCTGGCCCAGGCAGAGCCATGGTTCCTCCCTCGTGCCGTCTCTGGCAAAGCGTGGGTGGTGGCAGCGGCAGTGGCACTTGGAAGGGTGTGCCCAGAGTGCACTGGTGGTGCCTTGGCCCAAGTGCTGAAGGTTTTCCCCCCCCGGGCTGGAAGGTGCTCGGTTCCGTTTGGCGGCTGGTGCTTTCTGTGGGGCAAGTGTCACTGTCGGGGGGGGGGAGGTGACTCTCCGTCGGGTGCCCGCTGGCAGGATCCGTCGTGCTCTTACCCTCCAAAGCCCGCCCCCCTCCCTCCCTCCCGGGACCTGGGCGGGTGTATGTGGCTCTCCCTCCCTCCCTCCCTCCGTTCCGTCCCTGCAGTGATGACCCGGCGAGGCGAAGACAGCGAGCAGGGCCCGAGGCCATCTGCTGAGCTCCCACAGCCGAGCCAGACTATGGACTCGGGTCTCCTCGCTCGGCTGCCGCACCACACTGGCAAACCAAGGAGCTGGCCCCCTCCTCTGCCTGGGTCAGGCCGTGCCTGAGGGAGGACGGGGGGTGGTGGTGTCAGAGCGAGATTTTCCGAGACAACCCCCCCCCCCCCCGCCGCCACCTTTGATGTGGCTCTTGGCTTGTGAAAGAAGCATCGGATGCCCACCTTTGCGTCAGGTGGATTCTCTGCTGGACTTCCCTGATTGCTGGACGTGGAACGTCGGGGGGCAGGCGGCTGTCCCCCAAGAGGCTTTCCCTGTCTCGTTTAGGGTCATCCCTGACCTCAGGCACACAAGAAGCACATCTGGCGGGCTGAGAGAGGGGCCTCCGGGTCCGGTTGGGAGTGGCAGGGTTGTCCGGACCTGGCTCTGGTCCCGGGGGGGGCTGGGGCTGCTAGGGGCTGCGGTTCCCCTTGGCCTCTTTCTCCAGAGGAGCATCCAGGAAGAAGGGAAGGCGGCCGCGAGGGACAGCCAAATGAGGCATCAGTCAGTGAGATCCCTCGGAGTCTGGTGGCTGCTCTTGTCCTTTCTTCTTCTCCGGTCCCGGAGGCGGGGGGGGGCGCGGTGTGTGGGAGGCCCCGGGGCCCTCTAGCATCCAGGGTGGCTAAGCTGCTGTTCACGGATTCTCCCTCCTGCCAGGTGCTCATTGCTGCCCTTGGGGAGCTCAAGCGGCCCTGCTGAAGGCCAGGGGCACCTCCGGGCGTGGGCGGGAGGGGTGGGGCGGGGGGCCACAGAGTCCGTACAGCACAGGGGGCTCCTGCTAGCCCAGGGAGGGCTGGCGTGGCAATTGGGTGGCCACAGGGACTCGGGAGAGAAGCCTTCGCCTTCGGTGGGCGTGGGGGGGGGGCCCTGTGTGAAGCAGTCGAAGGGCACGTGGAGGCTCTGAGTGTTTCGGAGGTCTTTCGAGGACTCTGCCCCCGCCCGGCTCCCATTCACTTGGGCGGAGGAGCAAGCTTCGCACCCTGCAGGCGGCAGGGGTGGAGAGGCTGCGGCCCCCTCACCCCTGGGGCGGTCCTGCTGGGCGGTGCTGAGCGCCCTTCGTCTCTCCCGCGGAGGGGAGGGGGGCGGCAGGACGGGGCTTTCTCTCTCTCTGCCTCAGCACCGCCTCTCTCCCCCCATTCTAATTTGCAGGACTACAGAGCGGATGAGGACCCAGCCTTGTTCCAGTCGGTGAAGACCAAGAGAGGCCCTTTGGGGCCCAACTGGAAGGTGAGGGCGGCGGCAGGGTCAGCTCACAGCCGGGCAAGGGGTGCACAGGGCCCTGCTCCTTCCCAGCCGGGGCCCCCGTCCTCGTCACACGCGTCACACAGAGCCCCCTTTCTGCAGGCTGCTCGGAGGGGCTTGCCTGGTCCTCTCCCCCCCCACACCCCCGGTGGTTCCGGGCAGACAGAGGGGCGGCTCGATGGTGTCCCTTCTCTGGCTGGCCCGGATGGGGGTGGGAGCCTCTCCTCTGCGGAGGGGTGGAGCAGCAGCCATCTGCTGGCCTGCTTTCTGGGGGAGGCTGGCAGGGTTCCGCCGGGTGGCCTTTGGGGCACCACTCAGGGCGTGTGCTCACGTCGCGTGGGGGCCGGGCAGCCCGGCAGCAGCAGCAGCAGCAGTCTAGGGTGGATGGTCAGTTTCAAGCGTGCTGCTTGGGTGGGCCGGTGGGAGGCGCTCTGTCTGCCTCCTGTCTGCCTTGGCCCCAGTAGGCCCCCTCGGAGTCTCAGAATTCTGGGCCAAGGCAGGAGGAGGAGGAGAGGAGGCGGCTTCTTTGCCTGAAGTGCCGCTTTTGTGGGTGGGTGCCAGCAGGCACCAGAAAGCTCCCTCCAGACGGTCTTGCATCTCTCAGGTTGCCCAAGCAAAACCTGCCGCAGGAGTCTCGGAGCCTTTGGTGCGGGACTGAAGGCATCCCCAGGGGCCTACCGGGGTGAGGCCCCGCCAAAGCCTTGAGGCCGAAAGAGCACTGCTGGAGGGCCTTCCCCTAAAGGAGGGGCAACTTTGTCCCTTCCAAACCGGGTCAGAACCAGGGCACCCCCCCACACACCCAAGGAGTTCCGGTTGCTGGGATTTTCCCCATGTGGTCTGGGACTGAAGGTGTGCCCATCACGGGATATCAAGATCACCCTTCCTGGCTTTGGCTCCCGCCCTTCTGGGTCCCCCTCCCCCTAGAGACATAGCTGCCTGCCAGGAAGGGGGTTGGGCTGAAGTCACTGATCCAAAGCGATCACACCCCCCCCCCGGATCAGGTGGGCTGCAGTCATTGATCTAAAAGGATCTCTCTCTCACACCCCCCCCCCCCAAGGATCAGGCCCTTGAGTGAACGGGCAGTCTGCTGAAGGCTCCCTTGCCCCGTCCTCCTCCTCGCTTGGGGGGCAGGTCAGTCCCTGCCCAGTCCTGAGGCTCAGTCCTCCAAGGAGCTGGGACTCGACAGGCACAGACCAGACCCGGCTGAGCCAGGCAAAGCGGCCTCACTGTCTGTCTGTCGTGTGCCCCTCTCTCCCGGACCACGGGCTGGGGAGTGTCCCCTTGTTCGGACTAATGGCCACTGCGGGGCTGACTCTCCCGTTCCTGCCACAGACCGGCCCACCAACACTTCCAGTCTCTGTCAGAGTCTTTCTGCCTTCCCCCCCCCCCCCATTTTGGTGTTGGAACAGCCATCTCCTGGCGCCTTCGGTAGAGCCAGTGGCCATCCAGCCCGGTTCTGATTCAGTCCAGAGGGGTCAGGAGGCTTGGCTTGTGCTTGGCCACCCCCTGCAGAGGAAGGGAGGGAGAGAGGAAGGGCAGCCGGCCCCTTTCTGGGCAGCTCTTTGCGGGAGGTTGGCGTGGAGAGGGGCTTTCCGTGGACGAGACTGGTGGGTCTCACAGCAGCTCAGGCCGCACCTCCTTACATGCCGTGCCAGTGCACTTTGCGCAGCCAGGGAGGACTGCTCACCGCAGAGCGGATGGGGGGGCGGGGGGAGCATCCTGGCTTGGGGGTGTGTGCTGCCGCGCTTCTGTTCCTGCGTTTCATTTGTGCCCCCTGTCCTTCTCCCTAGCGGAGGCCCAAAGCAGCTTCCATCGTTCTCTTCTCCTCTGTTTTATCCTCACCACGACCCTGTGAGGTAGGCTAGGCTGAGAGAGTGACTGGCCCAGGGCCACCCGGCGAGCTTCCATGGCCCCAGCAGGGATTCGAACCTGGGCCTTCCAAGTACTCATCTGACTCTCTTGTCCACTCCTTCCGTGCCCCCAGCAGGGCCTTCTTTCCAGCACCCGGTGTCCCTTCCCGAACTGACCGCCCTCTGCTCCTCCACAGCAGGGTTGGATCTCCCCCTCACGCCTCGGGTGTGGAGTGCCCCTCTCCCCTCTGGCCTGGCCTCGGGCACGGGGTGGGGTGGGGAGACACTCTCCTTTGTCCAGGGGGGGGGGGGCGCTGTGCCTTCCCCCCCCCCCCGCTGTCAGGGTCTGGCCCTTTCCCAGTCGAGGGCCATCAAGCCCCCCCCCCCGAGAGGCTCTGAATGGGTGACGGGCGTCTCCTGGGGGGGGTTTGCCTGTTTGAAGCCCCCCCCTGCCAGGCGAAGAGGCCGGGCCGGGAGGGGGCTGGCTTCCCGCTCACGCCCTTGGGTGTGTCTTTGGGTTCTGTGCCTACAGAAGGAGCTGGCGGCTGATGAGGACTCTCCCAAAGTGTGCGCCTACAAGCTGGTGACGATCAAATTCAAGTGGTGGGGGTTGCAGAATAAAGTGGAGAACTTCATCCAGAAGGTGAGAAGCCGGGAGCGCTTGCCGGAGAGAGGAGTCGGGTGGGGAGAAGTCCACGGCTTCCTTCCTTCCTGTGTCTTCCCGGGGGGGGGGCAGCCCTGTCCCCCTCCTGCCAGTGGTGGCCGTTTGGCCAGCCAGGGACCCGCCGGCTGACCCCTCCTCGCCCCCTCTCGACAGCAAGAGAAGAGGATCTTCACAAACTTCCACCGGCAGCTCTTCTGCTGGATAGACAAGTGGATCGACCTCTCCATGGAAGACATCCGGCTGATGGAGGACGAAACCCAGAGAGAGCTGGAAGCGGTGAGTGCCCAGACCCCCCTCGCCCGGCAGCTGCCGCCTCTTCTTCTCCTCCTCCTCCTTCTCCCCCGCTCGCTGGGGATGGGCAGCCTTGGAGGGCCCTGGGGGCAGAGAGGGGCTCCACACGAGCTCGGCTCCTCTCCAGAGCAGCCACCGGGCGGTGGGTGGGGGACGGGTTGTCTGGCGGGCCGTTTCCACTAGTGCTGGCGCACTCTGAGCAGGGTGGGTTGCCTCTCAGCTGGGGCGTTGCACTGCTGGCTTTGAGTGTTGCTGCATGCCCTTCTGCTCACGCTTCGCAGGGCGTCTTGCGGTGGGGCCAGCCCTGCGCCGGCAGAGCACTGCCGCGGCAGACAAGCCTCTCTTGTCGGTCTTGGCCCTGTCCAGCGGTTCGCTGGCCGGATGCTCTGCCAGCGTGGCGTCCTCATGTGGCCCGATCTTCTGGCCTTCTCTCTCCGCCCGCCGGCCATCCTCGCGCATCTTCATCTTTCTGCCTCTCCTTGCGTGGCTGCGCTCATAGCTCCGATCTCTGGGCTCTGACAGGCAGCACAACAGCCCTGGTGGTGGCAACCAGTGTTCCCTCTAAGCTGAGTTAGTGTGAGCTAGCTCACAGTTTTTTAGCCTCCGGCTCACACCTTTTTGCCTTAGCTCAGGAAGGATGGCTCCAGAGCAAACTAATTTATGCAATAGCCGAATCGTTCGCTCACAACTTTAATGCTAGTAGCTCACCAAGTCGGATTTCTGCTCACCAGACTCCACAGCTTAGAGGGAACATTGGTGGCAGCTGCTCTGTTCACGGGGAGTGCCTCTCCTCCGTGTCCTCCTCCTCTTGCCGGCGGTGGCCCCAGCCCCTTCCTTCTGCTTCGTGACTCAAGGGGCCTCTGCATCGCCCTCTTTCTCTGGCTGTCTCTCTCTCCTCTCTGCCAGCGCTTTTTCTTCATCGCCTATCTCTGTTGGTGTCTCTGACTTCCATCCTCCTGCACGGCACCTTCTTTGCTCTCCCCACTTCTTGGCACGGGAGGATTTCACACCGTTCCCAAAGTGCCACGCTCTGCTTCTGGCATTCTGTTGAGAACAAAGCAGAGTCACTGGGACTTGGGGGGGGGGGGTCTCCGCTGGCTTCAGCGTTGCGCGGCTGGAGCTCCCGGCTGGCCTCTACCAAAATGTTCAGGTCCAGCTTTTGAGTTCCTCGTTTTCCTCCTTTTGAGTTCCTCGTTTTCCTCCCTCCCTCTCCAGTGGGCAGCACAGAAACATCTTGGCAGTTTGCTTCAGTGGCGTGCTGGGAAGGAGGCTGAAGGCTCACTGCTCAGTTTGGTGTATGAGAGCCAGTCAGGAGTGCAGACTCTAATCTGGGAGAAGCGGGTTTGATTCCCCACTCCTCCACTTGCAGCTGCTGGTGTGACCTTGGGTCAGTCAAAAGTCCTTTCGGAGGTGTTCTCTCACGAGCAGTTCCTGTCAGAGCTTTTTCAGCCCCACCTTCCTCACGGGGTGTCTGTTGTGGGGAGGGGAAGGGAGAGGAGACTGCAGGCCACTTTGGGTAGTGAAGGGCCGCGGGGTATGGATCCCATCTCTTTTCTCTCTCCTCTCCTGTCTTTTCCTGTGCCTGTGGGCCAGGCTGGTCTGGGGCTGGCTGTCAAAGGCGCTTCTTCAGCTGCTGTAACCCTTTCTCACTAACCCCCCTGCTGGGTTCCCTTCCTGGTGGCTGAGACAGTTTTATTTTGCATCTAGATGCGTAAGAAAGGTTCCGTTCGAGGGACGTTGGCTGCCGACGTCTAGAGGGACCCCCTGTGTGGGGTCAGAGGCAGCACCCAGTTGTGTAAGTGACTCTAGCTGGGAGAGGAGAGTCCTTCCGCCCCCCCCCCGGAGGGGAGGGGGCACTTCCTGCACAGGACAGGGCTTCAGGAGGGCCGGAGCGGCGCGCCCCCGCGGCCCCCCCCCCCCCCCCCCCCGGCCGTCTCTTTGGCCCCGGATGTGGATACTTCATTGCCAGCGTCATGACGCCCTTGGGGCAAAGCTCTGCACCTGATTGGTGCTGTCTTGAAACGGTCCTCGGGGTTCGCGCTTCAGTCCCTCCCTAGGCGGCATCCAACGTGTGTGTGCTGGACTCAGGGCGGCAGCACCTTCCGCGGCTCCCCCTGGAGTGTGTTCTCGTAGGCAGGCCGGAATAGCTCCGTGCTTCCCTTTCAAGCGGAACAGCTGCTCTGAAGCCTCAGGCATCCTCCTCCCCCCCCCCCCCCCCGGGTTTGCTGCTGCAGCTTTACAGAGGAGGCGGATATGCTTTTCCCCGCCCGAAATGAATTCCCGCTTCCGGAGGCCCGTCTGGCAGAGAGCAGTTCTCTGCGCTGGGCTCTAGAGTGGGTCTTCCCCCCTTGCATTGTGAAGCATGGCAGAGGCCCTGCCATGGAATGGCAGCCAGCCGTCCCGATCAGCTGTGTGGCAGGCCACGTCCTCGCTCCGTGAGGGCCAGCCTCTCCTTTCCCCTGGAGGGACGTGCCCGACCGTCTGCTGTGCTGCTGGCTGGCTGGCTGGCTCCACTTCTGACGGGGGCGGCGGGCTTTGCCTTTTCTCTCTGCAGCTGCGTAACCAAGGTCAAGTGAGAGGGACGAGTGCCGCGAACGACGAATGAAGGCCCGCCCTCCCAGCCACGCTGTCAGCACGTGGATCCACACGACTCTCTGCACATCAGGGTTGTGCATGCGTGTGCACACGGCAAGTGTGTGCACGTGTCTGGGGGGAGCTGCCACGGTTTCTCCAGGTACCGAATCTCTTTCACAAAGGAAACCGCTTTCATTATGTATACCTAATGCAAACAAGCCCACCTAGTCTCACGTAAGGGGAGAAGAGGCGGCGGCGGCAGTGCAATGGCTGTGTGTTCCATGGCGGTGGCTGCTGGACCCATCTACTCCTCCGTGTTCCCTGCCTGCCTGCCTGCACCCAGGAGCAGCCTGGCCCCCGAGCGTCCCCCCCGGAGGGGCAGCCTCCCCGGAGGGCCTCTTGGCTCCACTCGCCCCGGGGCTCTCGGCCGTGGCCCTCCTCCTCCGCTGGAGTCTCCCCCTGCTCCTAAGCAAACAGACTTGGGATCAGCAGTTAACTCCTCGTCTCGTGTTTCCCCACATCGTTTTGGAATAAGAACTCTGAATGTATTTATAGCTATTTATTTCTGGGTTGTCACTGTCTTGCAATCAAATCAGAAATGTCTCTTGTAGCAGTAGTCAGTTTTTTGCTATTAAGTGAAAAAGAAAAAGAAAAAAACAAGACAAGCCCCGCTTTTATCCATCTGCTGCTGCAAAGGAACAAAATCTGTTTAGCTGGTATTTTGTATATTGAAAATGGAGTGTTTCTTCATTAGAACTGGCAAACTAGGAAGAGGCTTGTGGTTCGTAAGCATCATGAATGGGCCCGTTGTAGACCATGGCTCAGTTCAGCCCGGGGCCAGGCCAGGCCTCGCTCCCCACAGAGGCCGCGACAGGGAGACAGCTGAGCAAACGAGACTTCTGGCTCTCGCTGCGTAAAAGGGTCGTTGCTGTTCAGATGCAGGTGGCAAAATCGTGACCTTAGCATTTTTGGGGTTAGTAACGAGGTAAATGCAAGAAGCTGGTCTCTGGAAGGCCTCCCGTAGATCATCTTGAGCGGCAGAGGCTTGGCGGAGCACTGGCCAGCGGGAGAGTTGGACTCTGGCCGGCTGCAAGGAGGGGCTGCTGTGGCCTGGAACCGGCCAGGCCCCAGGTCTCAGAGGTCTGCTGGGGGGGGGTGTGCCCAACCCCCAGTCCCCCCACCCCGGCCCTTTGCATACAGAAACATTCCACTGGGGAGAAGCCAGAGCTGCTGGGCGTGCGGGGCGGAGCGAGGTCCCCTGGTGGCTTCGTGTTGCCTTCCCCCGTCTCCTCCTGTGCCGGATGGAGTGTGGCCCCCAAGGCTGAGCCTCCAAGGGGGCTGGCTGGCTCTTCCTGCCCTCGCAAGATTGGCTTTGTAAATAACTGTTTCTAAGAGACTGGCAAATCTCTCGGCTGTTGCTCCCTCGTGAACGTGAGGCTTGCTTTCTCCCAGTGCAGGAATCGGTTCCCGCTGCCGCTGCCGCCTCCGGCCCCAGAGCGAGGCTCTCCCAAAGTGACGCCATGCCGCCAGTTTTGTAGGGGGGGTGGGGACAGTCCTCAAGCATTGGGAAAGGAACTTTGTAGTGAATGTAAACTTAGCTTCCTTCTGCAGTTTCTGGCCTGAACCGCATTAAGGAAATTTAAATAAATTTGCCCACAAAACTCTCCCTGTCTGTACTTTGTGTTCCCAGGTGCTGGGGGGAGCGGGGCTGTGCCCTTGCCGGGGGTGGGGATCAGAACCACAGGGCTGGTGGCGGCAGAAGCCGAGAGGCCTCCCTGCCACGGTGTGTGGCTGCCCCTCTTGAGTCAGTCAGGAGCCTCCGCCACCCCATCGAGTCAGCATCAAACGAACGGGCCTTGTGGTCGATTTCCAGGGAAAGGCCCATCATGCGCCTCAGCTAGCCTCGTGACCGGGCTGCCCTCCTGAAATGTGGTCCTCATCTAAGCAGCTTCCGTGTTAGGCAATGTGGGTGATCTTGGGGACCTGGTGAGCGTAACTTTGTCACCTGGACGAGCCCAAAGGACACCAGAAGAGCCCTGCTGAGTCGGGCCAGCAGTCCATCCGCATCCTGTTCCACACAGTGGCCGGCCGGCCAGCCAGCCAGCCAGCCAGCTGCCCTGGAGAGGCAACAAACAGCATAGGGGCCAAAGCCCTTCCCCTCCTGTGGTCTCCTCCTGGCACCGGGAGCCAGAGGCTGAGTGCCCCGAATGAGGAGGGAGCCTTAATTCACCATGAGTAGCACCTCTTGATGGATGCCTCCTCTGTGAATCTGTCTAGTCTACGTCTAAAGCCATCAGTACATCCACTGGCAGTAAATTCCACAATTTAATTACTTGCTGAGTCAGAAAGTGATTGGTCTCGTCTGTCCAGTATCTGTTGCCCATGAAATCCATTGGGTGGCCCCTGAGAGTTCTAGTCTTGCCGGATGGGGAAGCCCTCCTCCTCCTCCTCCTCCTCCTCCTCCTCCCGCCACCAGAGGGATAATTTCCTGGACCTCCGTGCCTTGGCGGTCTTTTTGCTTCACTGAGGGGTCCCAGCGGACTCTCCAGCCTGTTCCTGTAGGGAGGGTGCCACAACCCCCTATTCCTCTTGCTTGCCCCCCCAGGGCACTTTCCCCAGGCCTCCCTGAGACACAGTGGCCTAAACTCCCTACACAGTCCACTGCAGGAGGCAGCATCTCCTATGCAGGGGCATTACGATACTGGCCGTTTTGTGTTCAACCCTTCGCTCCTTTTCCTGATCATTTCCAGCATGGATTTGGCCTTTTTTCACCACTGCCACAGGCCCAGTTGACATTTTCATTGCGCTATCCACTCTAGCCATAAGATCTTTTGGACCCTATCAGCATATATTTAAAACTGGGGTGTGTTTTTTTTTTTTGTTCCACCTCTCCTGAACATCATTTGCCCCGCTGCTGCCATGAAAGTGGTCCCTCCTGGAGCTCTTCACAATCCACGTTCGTTTCCCCCATCCTGAATAGCTTGGTGTCATCCGCATCTCTCATCACTGCTTCCTTCACCCTCCAAGTCCAAATCCTGTATGAACAAATCAAACAGCAGCGGCCCCAAAGCAATTGTTGTGGGGCACCACCTGTCCCTTTCACTGAATGCAAGGACCACTCATTTATTATCTTCACTCCCTACTTTCTGCCATTTGACCGGCTCTTCAGCACAGAAGAGGCCCCTTCCTCTTATCCCGGGTCTGCTAAGTTCATTGCAGCAGCTTTGGTGAAGCACCTTGTCAAAAGCCTTTGGAAGTCCGTGGATACCGACGTCTGCTAGATGGCCTTGATCCGCATGCTTGTTAACCTGCCCCAAACACCAAACAGTTGGTGAGGCAGGACTTCGCTCTATGGAAGCCATGCCAGATTCCCCTCAACAGGCCTTGTTCCTTGGCATATGCTTCCTTGTTCCTTGGCATATGCGGGGGGCAAAGGCATTGCCCAGGGTAGGCCCAGCCAAAGGCCTGGCAGAACCGCCCCGTTTTACAGGCCCCCGTCGTAGTGTAGCTTCAGAGTAACCACAGTAGGATGGGCTGCAGGTGGGCTTCCGACTGCAGGTGGGGCACACCGTTTTTGTACGCTCCACCCTGTACAAATCCCCCGGCCACAGAAACTGGACATGGCACACCAGTAAAGCAGCAGGACACCACCAGGGGCCTCGAGGTCCTTCTGTCCCCACCCAAGAACTGCCTTCCTCCTTTTTTGTATTTTTGGTTGTTTTTAAATATGTGCACGTGTGTGCACGCATCTGCATGCAGCCGGTTGTCATGGCGACCTCCGGTGACTGACCCCTGCTGGGGGCCTGGAGGAGATTCAGAGAGGCGGCTGAGTAGAGCCTGCCCCTGTCCTCCCGACTGCTGGTCTTCCAAGGAGGCCTCCCATCCAAGCACTTGCCGGAGTCGACCCTGCTTGGCTTCTGAGATCTGACCGGATCGGGGTTGGCCGGGCTGTCCTGGTCAGGGCAGAACGGCCTTCCTCTTGAGGGGGACACGGTTGCAAAGTTTGTAGGGCTCCCCACCAGCGCTTCCTCCTTCAGCAGTGTGGAGAAATGCCCTCCCCTCCAGGACTGCTCTCTGTCCACAAGAAGGAACCCCGCTGCAAACACAGGGCTGGCAGAAAGCCGGGGTGAAGGTCAGGCTGCCGGCACAGAGTGCTCCAGCTGCTGGGTTATGGTCAGGGCTCTGGCCAAGGACCACCCCACACCCTTGAGGGAGGGAGGGAGGAAAGAAAGGAAGAACAGAAAGGGAAGCAGCCAAAATGCTCCCTTGTAGTCTGCTTGAGTCCAGTGGCACCTTTAAGACCAACAACCAGAGGTCATTTCCTGCAGGAGCACACAGGAGCGGAGCTCCGCAGTAAAGAGCCCAGGGGGCGGGCACATGCAACAAGCCCCACCCCCTGTTCCCAGCAGCCCTCAGAGCAAGAAGCAGCCAGGTATGTTGCATAGACCCCCCCCCCCCGCCCAAAACAGTCTAGTGGCACCTTTAAGACTAAGTTTTATTCAGGTACAAGCTCTCCCTCCTCTGCGAAGACAGATCTGCATGTTTCCCCCCCCCCAATAGCTAGCAATCCAAAATGGTCCAGTGGAGCCTGAGTGGTGGGTGTTGCCTTCTGACACACTTACACTTCCGGTGATGTCAGGGGGTGTGGCATATGCAAATAAGTCATGCTAATGAGTTATGCTAATGAGCTCCTGCACCTCTTTCTCTACGAAATGACCCCTGCCAACGTTTTATTCAAGGTATAAGCTTCTGTGTGCAAGCACACTTCCTCACACTTCCTTTATGGATGGACTGGTAATTTCCATTTTAATGTATCTGAAGAAGCACATGAAAGCTTAGACCCAGAATACAACTTGGTTGGTCTCAAAGGTGCCCAGTCTGGACCCAAACTTTGTTCCGCTGCTTCAGACCAACATGGCTGACCCCACCTGAATCTACCTTGTATTCTGTTTCTCCCGGGACAGGAAGTTCTGTCTGTAGCAGCAGAAAACAGCAAGAGTCCAGGAGCACCTTAAAGACTAACAAAATATCTGAAGAAGTGAGCAGTACTACATGAAAATGAAGGCCATGGTGAACTTCAAGCTACTGTAGCTTCAAGTAATACCAGTCTGTCCTGCTTAAACATTTAGGCGGGTAGCCTCTATCTGAATGTATCTGAGGAAGTGTGCCTGCACACAAAAGCCTAGACCCAGAATGGAACGTTGCTGGTCTGAAGGGTGCCCCTGGGCTCAAACTCAGTTTCACCCCACTGTTTCAGATAAGTGCCGAGTGTGGGGGGGTCAGAGGCTCTTGTGTTTCCTTTTTGCAGCCTGAATGCTTGAACAGACCACCACATGTACTCTTTTTATTCCTCTGTTAATGTTTTTGATATGTTGCCTGCTCTGCTCTACGCCTGATCCCTGGAAACACACTGCGCCCTTCGGTTCGGCTGTCTGGGTCCCCGTCCGGGGGAGGGCGCCATCCTCTGGTGCAGGATGGCTCCGGATGGGAAAGAGGCGGCAGACCCTCCCCCCCCCCCCCCCCCCCCCCCCGGGGGGCCGGGGGGGGGGGGGGGGGGGCGCC